ATTTAAATGGTTTTATTCTTTCATTTTGTTGCCTACCCCGGGATGTTATGGAGTGTGTTTGTGTAAGAAATCCGAATAACAACAACAGCAACCCTGGTTGAAAACCTCCACACAGCAAAGTGAATGGAAACGATTTGGGAAGCCTCGCAACGGTTCCTCGAAGCCTTCATTTTAAACGGGAACCCTTAATGGCTTAAAATATGGACTCCAAACCAGTCTCCCCCAACTTTCTTTCCTTTGAAACATTCTGGACAACAAGTTCCCTCAACCCCAGCCGGCTGCCTTGTATCCATCTTGCTAACTTTTGGTTCTCCAGTCACACTAATTTCCCTGACATGCTAGATTTCATGATGCGGGGCTTCTCAATCAGGGCTATTTTCTCCCCACACACTCCATGTGGTGTTCAAACCAGTGTTGAAAGAAGAATCCAGTTAGTGTCTAGGCTGAATTCAAAGCGCTGGTGTCGACGCTCACATGCAAAACTGGGGTAATTTAAACAGCACCTTCCGCATGAGCCTTCTGGCATTTTATATTTTTTCTAACAGCGTCCTGTGCCTGATGCCTCTCTTACCAGAAGCCGGGCTGATGCTCCCCACAAATACAGCCCTTTCTTCTGCGGGAATTCTCCCTTCTAACCCATTTTGAAAACAAAGAAGCATTCACCTTGCAAGTAGAAGACAAGCATATCAGGGAGAAAGATTCCGGTCCAACCTCTTCACTGCTAGTATTCTACTTATGGGACGCTTTTCCCATTGCAGAACATTCAAGAGAAAGAGAGAGATACAATCAAGAGACAGAGAAACAGAGAGACCTGCAGTCTTACAGATCGGCAGCTGCCAAGATAGAGAGCCCTTGGTTCATTCAGTTGTCTCCAGCAGGGTGATGACTGAGGTGGAATTTTATCCCTGATGTGCTAGCTTTTGTTTGCAGGGATTTTTTTCTCTTTTTTTCTATATACTACTTCAGGACAGAATAAAAATAGATTAAAAAGAGGTCCCCTGCTTCTCCTCAACTGCATTATTCTGCAACTCCAGACAGTCAGGTTTGGTTTTTTGTGTGTGGGAGGAATTCAACTGCATACCAGAAACTCAGGTTCCCAGATTTAAAATGGATTAAAGTGCCCTAGCGTGTTAAAGAAAACCAAAACTCAGACTTTTTGTGGTTTGGAAAGGGACAGAGAAGAGTATTGAAAAGTCTGGGATGAATGAATGACTAACAGGAAGACATGTAAACACCCTGCAAGGGAATCAGGATGAATGCTCATTATCGTATAACTTCCCCATAAACAAACCATAACAAATGCTCAACGAATACTGTGTTTAATCTAACCTCCGTGTAAGCTTTGTGCAAGCAAACCGGGATGAACGCTCAACAAACAGGTCATCTTGGCTCTTAAAGAGAGAAGATGAGTGAGAATCTAGGAAATGCAAAATTAATGTACATTAAAGCACTCAGTTGCCCTGGAACAAACCAACGCACTTCAAAAGAAAGAAAGAAAATGGACTTTTTGTGGGTAGGAAATTGACAGGGGGAAATGCATTAAGAACACCCCTGCCCCACAAACAAACCAGAACGAATGCTCAATAAAGAATGGATATAATCAAACAAGTTTGGTGTAGTGGTTAGTTTTGCACCAAGGCCCGAGAGACCTGTGTTCGAATCCCCACTGGGATGACCGTGGGCCAGTCATTCCCTCTCAGCCTAGCCTCCCTTGCAGGGTTGTTTTGCAGAAAATAATGGGGAGGAGAAGAATTATTTGCCCTGGAGCTCCTTTTGGAGGAAAGGTGGAATAGCTTAAGCTTTGTACAAGCAAATCAGGATGGATGATCAATAAAGAGGCAGACTGGAGCAGCCTAGGGTTTAAGAAACCTAAAAAACTCTAGGCAGATGGGCGTAATTTAATAATATTTTAGGAAGCTGCGCCTTACATCCCCCCATGGGCGAAACAGGGAGAAAATCAAGGCAATGTTTTATCTGGGGCATAAAATGAAGAGACTGTCCCTGGCAACTGGAGTGGATGGCAGTGGGAGAGAATAAAATGTAAAACAAGGATAGGAAATACAGGCACCACTTTTCTTATAAAAATATCATCACAGGACGAACAGCAACATGAAGCCCAGAGGTGCAAGATGCAAAATAATTATTAATTGTCCTGAGACCAGTAAAAATGTGGCTCTTTTTTAAAAAAAGAAAAGAAAAGAAAATGTGTCTGTTTTTGACAATAACACCCTTGAACCTCTTCAGACATTACACTGAGAAATGTTTAACAATTGAAATAATTAACCATGAGGATGATGATAATAATAGTAGTAATATTGCCCAGACCACAGCAGTGCACATCTCCTTTGTAAAAGTTATTTCTCTGCTCAGGTATATTCAGGTGGGAAAAAACTTTCAGCTTTAAAAACATAAGAATACAAAGTTGGGATGATTGCTTTCAAAACCCTTTCACAAATTATGTGGTTACACATATTTCGCCACAGTTCACGCCCAGGTGCCCCCATTTTGATCTTCTCTTTTGAACGCAATCAATTTTGTGGGTTCTTTGTTGCTGCTGCTGCAATTTCAAACATGTAACAGTATTTCTGAATTATTGTTTTGTTTTTTTTAATTTGCACAGATACACGGAAAATGCAGTCATATCCACTGAACTGAAACGAGCTTCTGGTGGGTTGCTTGTGTGCCCCCCACCTTTTCCCCTTGGGGGGCCAGAGAGAGATTGCCCTAGATGAGAGAATAATTCATTTATAGAAGCAACATTCTTTCAGTGTAAGGTTCGTACGCACTGCCTGCCATTGCAACTCAAATTCAGAGGAGAAAGGAACCAAATGTAAACCTCCTGACATCATCAAACATGTTAAAACGAAGAGTCTAGCTTTTCAGTTTTCCTGCAAGCCGAGGTCAAAACGTTGAGGTTGGTGGAACTCTACGCTAAGCTGTTATGTTGCTGGATGCTGTCTTCCTTCTACGGACATACAGGAAAGAGCACCAGGGAAAGAAAACCAGTTTGTTTCTGCAGCTCCCCCAGAAAGCACTATGAGCGAAGCCAAGCAATTCTTGGCTAAACCATCACAAGGATTAAACAACAGAAATGTTAAGCACCAATTTTTTGCCGGAAACACGCCAGTGATGAGCTATCCCCATCCTTCGTTTTTCATTTTTGTTTTCCTTCTTCAGAAAATAGAAAAACACAAACAAATCACAGAATACCGTTTTAAGATCACTTTAAGGCTGACACGAAACGAGACGCACCGTTACAACGTTCAGTTGACGTGTCCCTCTTTAAAGCCTTAAAATGATGCCTGCAGATCAAAGCCCAATTACCAGCCAAAGCTCCAGAACTGTGCCTTTAAATTGACTTTCTTTTTGCTACTATGCTGAGTTTTATTAAGACTGAGAATGATTGGGGGAGGGGAAGGGGAAAGCCATGATGGAACTTAAAAAATAAATAAATACTTTTTAAGTTCTGTTATCGTAATCCTCACCGTGATCATCATTAATATTTGGTACTCAGTTTAAGAGTTAAAGGCCATCTTTTTTAAAAAAAATTGCTTCCAGAAACAAATCAGAGAAGTTTTTGTTTTGTTTTGTATTGATCCCAATATCAATTGCAATGAAAATCAATGAAATAACTTGTTTTGTGGGTGGGGTGGGACTGATTCCCCCCTCCAGCTTTTTTCTGCAGGCAGGTGAGCTGCAGTCTACTGATGCAATGGGTTTCCCATTCAGTTCAATGGAAGAAACTGATGTGCACATGGATTTTTTTAGGGGGTCCATGAGCCAGCTTCCACCATTTGAGTGAACTGGGTGCCCGGTCCTCAAGAGAGACTGGCTGAAGACTGCCTGGCTGCCCAAAGACGTATCAAATGGTGAGTCGCGGCACAGCGGGTGCAAGTCAAAAACTGGATTTTCATTGGCTTGGAAAGAAATAGGATTACACCCTGAGATACAAGCTCAGTATGGCGAAACATAAAGTATCACCCCCTTCCTCTTCCCCTTCCCCTTCCCCACCCATTAACCCCCCACCCCCCATTAGGAATGCAGTTATAACATTACAAACAGACTGGCCTGCATAAAAGGAACCGAAATACGTTCAATTAAAACAACTCCCATGCCAAATCATAAAACGAACATGAACCCTCTTCAAGTTTAAGCGTGGGCATTTTCACTTTTTTCTTTTTGTGCCAATCTAATAAGAGCAATTATATTTCCTCTTCATCTGATTTTTCTTTTAAAAAATCTAGTTTCATATATATATATTTATATACATATATAGACATAACTGTATATGCGCACACCCGTCTTGTACATGCGCGCATACATATATATATATATATATAATTTCTGTCGTTAAAACCGTCAAAGAGCTTTGCATGAGGGAGGTGACAGTACATAATGAAACTCAGCACCTAAGGGCATAAGGCAGTTGTAGGTTTTTTTGTTTGTTTGTTATATATATTTTTTATTATTAGTATTATTATTATTATTTTCAATCAGCACCAATCCCTATGATAATGTCCTACACTTGGTGTAAGGTATAAAACTCAGAGGCGGAGCTTGTTTGCTTTACTCCGACCTCTGAAAGCGTGGAAGTTTGAAAATACTGGTTGGTTTTGCGTTGTTGGTTTTTTTGTTTTTTTCTTCTTCTTCTCCTGCGCGTAAAAAACAAAAGGAAAGTTTTTCTTTTTGTTTTTACTTACAAAACATTGAGGATCTCTCATTCTCATATATATATATATATATATATATATATATATATATATATATATATAAAATTAGTTAAATACATACAGCAACCAGAAAGAAAACTTATTGGAAGGTTAGTTTCATGAGCTGTGTTCATGACCGTAAACATTTAACCAGCCTTTCCCCGCCCCCAATTTCCCTCTTTTAATTCTTTTGTTGTTTGTCTGTGACAGTGTGTGTGTCGTGTGTGTCGTGTCTGTGTGTATGTGTGTGTGTCTGCATGTTTGTATGTGTGCTTGTGTTTAAAGGAGCTTTTAAAGTGAAGATTCGTACTGTAGCAATTCATACAAGAGAGGTCCGTCTCGATATCTAATCCCTACGGCGGTCGGGGTGACGTACTGTAGAATGTTTATAGTCCTTCTTAATCTCCTGTCTACAAAATGGGCGTCCCAAGCCGGGTACCTCTTCCTTGGGATGTCTATCTTAATGAGAGGGCCTTCTGGGTGGTAGGGCCTCCCGGACGGAGTCGAGGGTACCATCGCTCTCACTTGGAAAACTGGCAAGCAAGTCTCAGCCGTGAGTTCCTCCTGTTGCTCCGTGGCCGCTCTGGTGGGCGTTGCCTGGGCCGCCCTGTACCCTGGGGTCTGGGGAGCCATGGGTTCAACGTCAGGGGGCAAAGGAATGCCCCAGAGCAGTTCGGCGCAACAGGAGCTGGCAAAGATCTTAGCTCTTGGCCCCATGGGATGCAGGATGCCGTAGTACAAGAGCATCAGTGCTACCCCGGCGGCGAAGCTAAGAAAGACGCAACAGAGTGCTGGCACAGCGTACGAGTCAGTGGTGTCGGGGTCTCTGTAATAATACCAAAGGAGCGTCAAGGCAGCATTCTCCGTCAAGACTACAGTGTAATAGGCAAACATTCGGTATCGGGTCCGCCCTTCCTTGACATTAAACCAGCAAAAAATGTACACAATTCCTACCACCATGTTGAAGAGAATCTCCTCCCATTTAGACATGCAGAAGTCTGTCCCGCCATGGATGATCCAGAAAGCCATGGCGCACCAGTGGACCACCAGAAAGATCCCAAAATAGAGCTGGAAGATGGAAGCAAAGAGGGCAAAAGAGATCACTCTGGATGAGATGGTGAAGAGACGCCAGAAGAGATGGATAAGGGCCCCTCGGTAGCTCATGCTCTTCTTGTCATCCCTAGAGTCCCGGAGAAGCTTATGATACGAGGCTAGCACCCAAGCCAGGGACATCAGGGAGGCGACAGAGGACACACCTGCCGGGAGAACACACACACACAAACCCACAGAGTTAAACGGGGCAAAAGGGACGCAGTGGCCCACATCATCGTCCCCCTGGGGGGCAGGTGTGGAGCATGTTTACAATGCGGGTCGGGGTAGCGAGAAAGATCTAGAGGAGGAAGAGAAGAGAGAGTAAAATAAGCAGGACTTCCTACGGGAGCATGCCTGCGCTGCAATACGTCCAGGCCACCATCTGCATGGATGTGCATGGCGATGAGGCTCACTGTCCACCAACAATTCCCTGGTGGGAGACTTCTGTGTATAGTGGTACCTTGGTTCTCAAACTTAATCTGTTTTGGGAGTCTGTTCAACTCCCAGAACTGTTCAAAAACTGAGGTGCGGCTTCCGAATGGCTGCCGGAGCTTCCTGCACTCAATTGGAAGCCATGGAAGCCATGTCGGACATTCGGCTTCTGAAAAATGTTCACAAACCAGAATACTCACTTCCGTGTTTGCGGAGTTTGGGAGCCGATTTGTTCAGGAGCCAAGCTGTTCGAGTACCAAGGTACCACTGTGCTCTGTTGTGAACTGGTTTAAGAAAGCCTTATTTATAGCCACCTTGGAGAAACTAACCCACTAACTCCGGGTTCTAAAGAGGGGACGTGGACCCATTGGACTGTTATTGTTGTTTAGTATAATGGGTATGGGGTTGCTCGTGCGTAAGTTGCCGCCTCTCCTGGCTATGTTGCCTTGTTAAACCTTTCTGTCTGGACAGCCCTTCAATTCGTGGCTGCCTCAGTCGCTAGCAGAATCCGTCAGTGGGCGTTTCTTAAACCTCTTCCAACATAAAAGTTGTTTGACGCCCAGTCTCCTCCTACTCTCCCTGCGTGGAAGTCTTCTGCGCAGGGAGGGCGTGGGTAGCGGAGGACCCGTGCTCTCCCCGCTGGTGTCCAGTGAAGAGTCCTGGAGCCCTCTCGCCGATTCCCCCATCTGCCCCCCTTTATCCCTGGTGTAACGTTGATTTGCTTCCCCCTCTGCTGAACTGCCTCTCTCCCTGCTTGGCCCTTCTCCAGCATCATTTGAGAGCCTTCCCTCCGCCTAAGGCTCCGATGTCAGTTCCCTGACATTTAGCTTATTTAACAACTCAGTCACATGGGTGGCAAATTCCATCGGAATATGATTTCATCTGCCGCTATATGATTATATGAGTTTTTGATGTGCTGTTTATGTCTTATCTTAGAAGACTGCCATATTGCCTCTTTTGTGCAAGTTTCTTTTAATACTTATTTATATATATCTTTTGTCTCCTTATTTTACACCTGACCATGCTCAATTGCTCTCGGCTATCTTTGAATTGTTGGAAAACTGTGCTAGTTTTGTTTGCTAATGAAATAATAGCACTGATTTTAAAAACTGATCATGGTACTGTGAAATCAGAAGGGACCAAGTTAATTAAAACTGCCCATGAACAGGTGAAGCCTATGAGCTGCATCTCGCTTGCCAGACTCGTCGACATGACAGCTCACCTTCTAGGAGTTCATGTGTAAAAAGCTTGGCTGGGATATAAGAACTGGTGGTCTGAATATGGCTCATTGGACTTCTATAGGTAAAGGTAAAGGACCCCGGACGGTTAAGTCCAGTCAAAGGCGACTATGGGGTTGTGGCACTCATCTCGCTTTCAGGCTGAGGGAGCCGGCGTATCTAGGCTGATAGCTCAGCCTGAAGCATCCATTGTCAGAAGCTCCCAATATTTGAAGCATCCGTTGTCAGAAGACCTAGGAAGGTGGGGATTGTGCAACATTTGACATGACTGATGATGTCTGGAAGGCCACCTTAAATTGGCTTTGCTACTCTGGTGTTCTGATTATTCCCAGCAAAGCTCTAAGACAGGGGTTGCTAATGTGGTGCCCAGAGTGTTCATTCTGTTGCAGTCCAAAGCTCCTGGAATATTCATATTCCTCCGAAATGGCCTTTGCAAGGTGTGGCCCATCTGCTCATGCAGAGCACCCCACAAGTACACAGAGAAGCTGTAGTCAAGCAATTGCTCTGTCAAGTCTAGCATGGCTGTTGTCTATTTGGGAACTTTCTAAATCACCTGTTAAAGGTAAAGGGACCCCTCACCATTAGGTCCAGTCGTGACTGACTCTGGGGTTGTGGCGCTCATCTCGCTTTATTGGCCGAGGGAGCTGGCGTACAGCTTCTGGGTCATGTGGCCAGCATGACTAAGCCGCTTCTGGCGAACCAGAGCAGCGCACGGAAACGCCGTTTACCTTCCCGCCGGAGCGGTACCTATTTATCTACTTGCACTTTGATGTGCTTTCAAACTGCTAGGTTAGCATGAGCAGGGACTGAGCAACGGGAGCTCACTCCGTCGCAGGGATTCGAACCGCTGACCTTCTGATTGGCAAGAACTTCCTGACAGTAAGAGCTGTTCGACAGTGGAATTTGCTGCCAAGGAGTGTGGTGGAGTCTCCTTCTTTGGAGGTCTTTAAGCAGAGGCTTGACAACCATATGTCAGGAGTGCTCTGATGGTGTTTCCTGCTTGGCAGGGGGTTGGACTCGATGGCCCTTGTGGTCTATTCCAACTCTATGATTCTATGATTCTAAGTCCTAGGCCTTGTGGTTTAACCCACAGCGCCACCCGTGTCCCTTTAAATCACCTGTTACCTGACCCTTTTAAACTGGACATGCCCAGGATTGAACCTGGGACCTTCTGCAAGCAAAGATAGGCCCTCTAGCATTGAATGGTGGAAGAACAGGTTCCCACTAGACCCCCCGGCAGACTCACGAGGGATTGCTCCTAAAGAGCATTGCTCCTTCAATCTTCATCAGTAAAAATTTCTGGAGGAATCACAGAAGGGACCACAAGGATCACCTAGTCAGACCCCCTGCAATGCAGGAATCTTTTGCCCAACATGAGGCTCCAACCCATGACCCTGAGATTAAGAGACTCATCCTCTACTGACTGAGCTACGGAGGAACACAATCTCTGACTTCGCACAGATGTTAGTGTGATTTATGGCTTGCGTGTGAAAGAGTGGTGTATGTGTGCACGCACACAAATTTTGGTCTGTCGCTGGCTAGCACCAACAAAATTAAAAGGGTAATTTGATAATGATACTAGTGCAAAATGTGAAGGGAGTAATGCTAAGATTGGAAGGCAGCAAGTGGAGGCAGAGGGCCAAAGACAGGCATCCTCATCCTTCTTCCTGCTGATTTCTACAACGGCAGCATTGAGACTATGCCAGCGGGCAGTGCCAACCCCTGGAATAGCTGTAAGAAGGCAGGCAGGTGGGAGCTAGCTGAGGACAGATGGAAGTTGGTGGGGCAGTGTCCCATTCACTCTAATGGTCCATCATCCACTGAACTCCATCAGAGTTAGCTACAGTACAATCTCCTCCCTTCTGTAATGGTATCATTGCCATCGGTTACATTGATTGTGGTTTTCCAAGTCTTGAGTATGCTTCTGAGCCATGGTTCCCAAAGCCATGGCACTAGGATCACCTGCCGGGTGGTGGTGGCAGTGCTTAGGGGCAAGGGGGCGGCTGTGGGGTGGCGGCGGCACTGGACTTGCCAATGAATATCAGACTTTGAACAACTGGTATCACTGGATCAAGTCAATCAATCTCATTGAAGTACCGTATTTTTCGCTCTATAAGACGCACTTTTTCCCCTTCAAAAATTAAGGGGAAATGTGTGTGCGTCTTATGGAGCAAATGCAGGCTACTTGGCTTCAGGGATAGCTACCTGAAGCCTCTAGAGCGCAGCAGGAGCTCCCGCTGCGCTCCAGAGGCTTCGGGTTGCCTTCACTGAAGCCTGGAGAGTGAAAGGGATCAGTGTGCACCAATCCCTCTTTCTCTCCTGGCTTCGCTTCGCTGGAGAGGCGCTGCACAGCTTTCCCTCTCTGCGCAGCGCCGCTTCAGCGAAGTGGGAGGAGAAATGGAAGGGGCAGAGAGGGGGAGAATTTTTTTTTCTTGTTCTCCCCCTCTAAAACAAGGTGCGTCCTATGGTCGGGTGCATCCTATAGAGCAAAAAATACCGTAATTAAACAAAACAAGTTTCAACTGGGTTTTGCACCAACGTGCAATTAATTGTCGCTGTTTTGAATTTTATCGTGTTATCAGTGGGTCGTGAAAACCGCTCATCTGAATAATGCTTTCTGTAGGGCAGGGTAAGGGGCAATGGGGAGGAGTTTATGGAACCGAGGGGACAGTGGCTTCGAAAGGTTTGGTAACTGGAGCCCAAAGCCACACTGAAAGCGGGCAATGGGCACGGCATTTGTGCCTCAATTGGCCCCTCAATTGGCCCATCTCCCACAGGAAACACAGCGAGCGGAAATGGGCAGAGGCTGTGCCACAAAGAAGGCAGGGCTTTGTTTGCTATCTGGCGATGGATCAAGGGGAGCAGTCACTGCCGACATGGCGATGGATCAAGGGCCTGGCGATGGATCAAGGGGAGCAGTCACTGCCGACATGGAGGTGTATCCCCACTCCCCGTACACAGTGTCTCTCCCCACCCAGGTGGGGCAACTTACATGGTAAGGTTTCTGCACGGTTCTTTTGGATCATTATGCAGAGCTGTAGCACCAATTGTGGGGCGCTCTCGAGGAAAGTCTCCAAGAGGCGCAACATGTTGACGTCTGCATACTCGTACATCATAGCCCAGTAAAAGCGCCGCTGGTGTTCCTTTTGCCTCTGGCTTTGGATCCCCAGGTACATGGTTCGGATATACCTGGAGACAAGGGGAGAAAGAAGGGAGGGAGAAGGTGAGCTCGTGACCAAAGGACATCATCATCATCATCATCATCATCATTTATTATTTATACCCGGCTGATTTGGCTGGGTTTCCCCTAGCCACTCTGGATGGCTTCCAACAAAATATTAAAATACAATAGTCCTTCAGATATTAAAAGCTTCCCTAAACAGGGCTGCCTTCAGATGTCTCCTAAAAGTCTGGTAGTTGGTTTTTCCTTTGGCATCTGGTGGGAGGGTGTTCCACAGGGCGGGCGCCACCACCAAGAAGGCCCTCTGCCTGGTTCCCTGTCACCTCACTTCTCACAGGGAGGGAACTGCTAGAAGGCCCTCGGAAGAGCATGTTCATAGCCTGGGAGTGCTTCTGGACCCATCTTTACCACTCGAAGCCCAGGTGACCTGTATGCATGCTCTCATTTGCTTAAAACATTGCTAAGTGTCCTGGAGTTTCAAAGAAGGAAGCGGTAAATAAAATGAATGGATGAATAAAAATAGAGGGCCTCTGATCAGTGGTGGAACATCTGCTGTGCATATAGAAATTCCCGGGCTCAATCCAGCAGAATCTGCCGCTAGACCTAGAAATAGCCAGCCCAATTTGAAACTGGAGAGCCTCTGCCAGACAGTAGATAACAATGTCTTGGACTGACCAAGGGTCTGCCCTCGCTATGGGGCGACTTCTTATGTTCCTAACCCACTTGCATGCTTGCTAAATTTCGTTAGGGCCAGTGGAAACTGTGCAAAAACTCATCCCAGTGCTATTCCTTATTACCATCGCAATGATCCCATATGTGAGATTGTGGGGAAGTAATCACAGTGCCTCTAAGATGGGACTGATACGGGGAAGACATGAGCAGGCAGGAGCTATCAAATTGGCTGCCCTTAAGAAAGGTTCCGAAAAGCGCACAGAATTTTTTTAATAGCTGGGTTCCTGCAATTCCCTGCGTTAGACAAATGTTTGGGCTTAAAGTTCAGAAGTAGAATCTTTGTTATTATGAAATACTAAGAGGAATAGTACATATGTATGGTATACATTGTCCACCCCTCCTCATTCAATTTCTACAACAACCCTGTGGGGTAGGTTAGGCTGAGAGGCTATGACTGGCACAAGGTCACCTAGTGAGTAAAGATTTGAACCCAGATCTCTCCCAGGTCCTAGCCTGATACTCTAAGCACTATACCGCACCAGCCTAATTCCATGTTTTCCTGATAAATGAATAACTGTTCACCTTATATGCTAGGAGTAGTCAGGGCAAAATGAGAGGGAAAAGGGAGAAACTAGGTGTTGGAGGCGGGGAAAAAGATTTTCTTAATTTTACGTCTGCTGTTTCCAAAATTGCATTTAATTCCAGTGTATATCCGTGCCAATTTAATGGAGTTTCCTTCCCTCTCACTCATTTTGGATCTACACCTTAAGTTAAGGGGTGGGCAAGTTTCAGTTTCTCATTTTTCCGAGCTTCAATTCACATCAGTTTGAGAATCCTGCATTTATTTTTTTAAGTCCTCATGGAAATTCAGCAAAAGATTGGTTTATTTTAATGCAAATCTGTCCTAATATACAAACGTTTGTATGTGTTTCTGCCCGATATATACACATTTTTTGCAAACTGATTTCCCCTAATATTGCATGCAGACTACAATGACCAGGATCTTTTTGGGGGGGAAGGTTTGACTGTTTAAAATGATATGTAAAAGGTAAAGGTAAAGGGACCCCTGACCATTAGGTCCGGTTGTGGCCGACTCTGGGGTTGCGGCGCTCATCTCACTTTATTGGCCGAGAGAGCCGGCATACAGCTTCCGGGTCATGTGGCCAGCATGACTAAGCCACTTCTGGCGAACCAGTGCAGCGCACGAAAACGCCGTTTACCTTCCCGCTGGAGCGGTACCTATTTATCTACTTGCGCTGGTATGCTTTGGAACTGCTAGGTTGGCAGGAGCAGGGACTGAGCAATGGGAGCTCACCCCGTCGCGGGGATTCGAACCACCGACCCCCTGATCGGCAAGTCCTAGGCTCTGTGGTTTAACCCACAGCGCCACCCGCGTCCCCATAAATGATATGAGACTGCTTCAAATGCACAGAGTGGATGTAGTCTATTTTATGTGGGCATTCAAGGGAGTACAGCTGAGCCAGAAGACTAGAGGAAGCTTTGGGCTCTTGCAAGCAGACATGATGTCTTTTTTAAAAAAAGAAAGTTTTAAAAACAAGTGGTGGAAGAAGTACCTTTCAAAGTTAAAGCAAACAGGAAACCCTACACATCCTGAAAATTTCAGGGAAATCTCATCTGACCTCATAAAAATCACTGCCCTTTCACAGGGCACACAAAAAAATCAAGGTGGTTTTCAACCTCCATTTAATATGGGGCAGCGTCTTACGGTACTATATTTTCATCGGTGAAATGCTGCAGAACATGCAAAGCACGCCCCATATTTCTCTGCCTTGATACTGAATATTCGGTATTGTGTCCAAATGGAATCATCCCTGATGTTTTGAAAACAGCTGCAATAGAGCAGCAGCAAAACAAAGCCTACTTTGGAGGAGGCTGAAGTGGGAGAGAGGAGGAGCTGGTTTGTGGAGCGTTCCCTCACAAACAGGAAATGACTCAGATTTTCCGCAAGGTGGCGATCTGATCTAATCAAAGAGGGCATTCAGAAATGTAGATGGAGAGAGAGAGAGAGAGAGACGGTGGCTTGGGTGAAAACTCATTTTCTTAAATTCCGCTTTCACGCTGCACTGAATTTTCATGAGGTTTGATTTTCGCTGTGGAAGTTGCCGCGATGGAGTAGTGGCTGTGCTGGTGGGGGGAAAGGAAGGAATGATTGCAAATTGCCACCCCCAAACCTTTCTTTCCACTCCTGCATTCATTTCATGTATTTGTTTGCAGCCAATGACCCTCCACCATCCCCCACATCTGCCGCTGTTCGGGTTCCACGCTTCAGAAAACACAACCCAAACCTGAAAAGGGCATTTTAAACGGCTCTATCCCTGTTAATCGGGGAACGTACTGTGACCGTGATGACATCATTGTGCCACACAGGCAATCAGTTTTGGTTCTGTGACATCACTGAGAGCAAACCAAGAGGAGAAGAGGGAGAGGGGACATTATGTTGCAGTGCTGTTTTCGTGGTTTCACCCACATATCCATACACAAGAGAAGAGCCTGCTGGATGAGGCCAGCATCCTGTTCTCGCAGTTGACAACCAGATCCCTGTGGGAAACCTGTAATCAGGATTTGAGCACAAGAGAAACTCACCCCTCCTGTGGTTTCCAGAACTGGTTTTCAGAAGCATTGCTGCAGCTCTAATAATAATAATAATAATAATAATAATAATAACTTATGATTTATACCCCGCCCATCTGGCTGGGTTTCCCCAGCCACTCTGGGCGGCTTCCAACAAAGTATTAAAATACAGTGGTCTGTTAAACATTAAAAGCTCCCCTAAACAAGGCTGCCATCAGATGTCTTCTAAAAGTCTGGTAGTTGTTCTTCTCTTTGACATCTGATAGGAGGGCATTCCACAGGGCGGGTGCCACTACCAAGAAGGCCCTCTGCCTGGTTCCCTGTAACCTCACTTCTCACAGGGAGGGAACTGCCAGAAGGCCCTCGGAGCTGGACCTCAGTGTCTGGGCAGAACGATGGGGGTAGAGAAGCTACTTCAGGTATACTGGACCGAGGCCGTTTAGGGCTTTAAAGGTCAGCACTAACACTTTGAATTGTGCTCGGAAACATACTGGGAGCCAATGGTGGAGGCAGAGGACAGCCACAGTGGCTAGTAGCCATTGCCAAGCCATGAATTTGCCAATCCTCTTAGAATCATAGAATCATAGAGTTGGAAGAGACCACAAGGGCCATCGAGTCCAACCCCCTGCCAAGCAGGAAACACCATCAGAGCACTCCTGACATATGGTTGTCAAGCCTCTGCTTAAAGACCTCCAAAGAAGGAGACTCCACCACACTCCTTGGCAGCAAATTCCACTGTCGAACAGCTCTTACTGTCAGGAAGTTCTTCCTGATATTTAGGTGGAATCTTCTTTCTTTCTTTTAAAGCCATCTAAGCTGGTGGCCACAGGATGCCGGTGGCGTTGTGGGTTAAACCACAGAGCCCAGGACTTGCCGATCAGAAGGTCTGTGGTTCGAATCCCTGCGATGGGGTGAGCTCCCATTGCTCAGTCCCAGCTCCTGCCAACCTAGCAGTTCGAGAGCACGTCAAAGTGCAAGATAAATAGGTCCCGCTCCGGCGGGAAGGTAAACGGCATTTCCGTGCGCTGCTCTGGTTCGCCAGAAGCAGCTTAGTCATGCTGGCCACATGACCCGGAAGCTGTACGCCGGCTTCCTCCGCCAATAAAGCGAGATGAGCGCCACAACCCCAGAGTCGGCCACGACTGGACCTAATGGTCAGGGGTCCCTTTCTCTTTACCTTTTTAAGCTGGTGGCTACCACCACCTCTTGTGGAATCCAGCGGTGTAGCTAGCTGCTTGGGTGCCCAGTGCGCACCCTGCAGCTGGCAGGTGGGCGAGCTGCCCATGGGGGCGGGATGTGCTGTGTGGAGCCTCTCCGCTGCCCCCTCTCAGCTGTAGGGTGGCTGAGGAAGAGGCGGAGGGCAGACGCAAGTCCCACACTGCCATTTCAGGCAGACCAGAGCCTTCATGCACCCAAGCCACTACGTCATTCTCAGGAGAGATGTGTGGCTTGGGTACATGGAAATCCCATGGTAAGTGCTGGCCCCTGTGGTTTGGTGCCCAGTGCCAGCCGCATTTGTTACATTTGTTGACTGAACTAAAAAGTTTCATGAGCCCAATTTTGTTTTTTTAAACTCATATTTTTGTCATTTTGTCACCCACCTCAGTGATGACACCCACAGCAGCACGCATCCACCGCACCCCCCTTCCTCTGCCACTGGTGGAAGCATGTTCCATAGTTTTAACTATGTGGTGCGTGAAATGCGTCTTGTGGGAGAGAGTTCCACAGATC